GGTGTATGTGTGGCTGGTGTGTGTGCAACAGCTGTGGTATGCGTGATAGGTGTATGTATGGCATGTGTGTGTGTGTGTATGAAGGCTGTGGATACGTGTAATGGTGTATGTGTCACAGGTGTGTGTATGTGACAGCTGTGGGTATGCATGATGGGTGTATGTGTGACAGGTGTGTGTGACAGCTGTGGGTATGTGTGATGGGAGTATGTGTGGCAGGTATGTGTGTGTGACAACTGTGGGTATGTGTGATGTGTGTATGTGTGACAGGTGTGTGTGAGAAACAGCTGCAGCTGCATGTGCGATGACTGTGTGTGTGACTGCTGTGTATGTGTGCACTGCCCTTACCCAGCAAGAGGTGCGAGAGCGCCAGGGCCACGCTGAAGGGCGAGAAGACCACATTGGAGCTAGTGCCTTTCCCCTTGGCCAATTTCGAATAGAACTTCAGTGCAAAATCAGTCAGCGCCGTTGCCACCCTGGGGCTCTCCTCCTTGGCGTCGTCCCCACAGCTTACCCAGGGGTCACTGGGCGGGCACCGCTGGGGTGTTGTGGTGGGCGCCGTAGTGGCCTCAGTGGTGGGTGCTGCAGTGGGCTCCTTGGTTGGTTCCTCGGCCGACTCCTTTTCGAGCTCCTTGTCTGGCTCCTTGGCCGACTCCTTGTCTAGCCCCTTGGCCGGCTTCTTGGACAGCTCCTTGTCTAGCTTCTTGTCCAGCTCCATGGTACTCTGGTTCTCTGATATATGTCCCTGGCCATGCATGCCAGTAGCCCGATCGGCCTCCCCTTCTCCCTCTGGCACGCTGGAGGCAGCTTTGCAACCTGTGGACTCCTCCCGCCCTGGCCCTTCCTGCACCAGCCCCTGCTGGGTCTCCTGCCCCTCCACCTCTCTCCCATCCTCCACTCTCTTCCCCGAGGTTTGCTGAGGGCCTTCCCCGGTCTGCTGAGGGCCTTTCCCGGTCTGCTGAGGGCCTTCCTCGGTCTGCTGAGGGCCTTCTTGACAAGTCACATCCTCTTGGCGAGTCCCATTGTTGGCATCCTCACCTCCTGTGGAGTTGTGGCCAGCAGCTTGTGGGGGGATCTTGGAAGCAGGGCACTGTTTGTCCCCTTCTGCCCCATTCAGCCAATCCTGCTGTGCCAACACCATAGAGGAAAGGAGAAGGATCCATCAGATAAGCGAGATCCAAGGCCCAAGGGGTGTGATTGGATCTGGTACCAACTAAGGGGTGATTCACTGCCCCTCACTGCTCAGGAACTGCTTGAATCTCCCCCGCTGGAGATTCAGCTGAGTGGGGAAATCCCCAAAGGGTGGAGCTACAGGGAAGTTCCTAGGAGGTGGAGTTTCCAGGAGGCAGAGCTGGGGGGAAGTTCCCAGGAGGTGGAGCTCTGGGGGAGTGGGTGTGGCCAGAGCACACCACTTTGGTCAATATTCTTTGTTCAAAATGTTTTTTTCAACAAA